TACACATCTGTAACGCAAGAGGAGTGCCTCGATGTGATCAAAGCGCGTGTGAAGGAGCGTAATGTAAGCGAGAATAGTATTTTAATTCGCTCGATCTTTTTTTTTAACGGATACTTTTCTATATTCTTTCCGTAGGCCAACTTACACATAGTGCCCGAGTATGAGGAGTATTTCCGTAAACCAGAAATTGAAGCACTACTATCCAACCTCAATGAGGTAATACGACTGAATGGCTCGCTGGCCATACAACTCGCCTACGATTGGCTACGCAAGAATGGGTATTCACGCTACAAACAAGTCGAGTCCACAGAGCTAACCAGCGAAGTTGAACGTGGCTTGCAGCAGTGCAATTGGCCAGGTCGTTGTGAGATTTTGAACATTGAGAATTTGAAGTAAGTTGAAAAATTCCGATTCGGCAATAACGTCATCCTTAGTAATATTTTCTCTACCCCAAAGGTTTCACATCGATGGGGCGCACACTGTGGAGAGTATACGCGTCTGTTGCGACTGGTACAAGCGTGTAACTGAGACGAGGTAAGCTATGTGAAGTTACTTGATCCACTCAAATACTCTCTAATTTTTCTCTTTTCTCTACATCCTGCAGCACTAACCCACGCGTGCTCATTTTCAATACCACCGGCGAACGTGATTCGAGACGTCTGCTCGAGGTTCTTCACGCCAGTAATGAATTTGCGATCGTTTGCTTTGTGCCGAATATTTCTTCGGGCGCCTCTAATCACAATGACAACACTTCCGTTTACGGAATCACTGAACAGCTAAAGCGCGCACGTCTTCACTCGAGTATTTGGTATCAATTGTGCATGGAATCGGAGGAAACGGATACGTCTAAGACTTTTGGTTCGATTGTAGATTGTTTGCTGCATTTGCGTCAAGTTTATGGCGCTAAACAAGAGGTGGATGTGCTGGTTACCGGCTCATTGCATCTGATTGGCGCTACAATGGCGGCATTTAAGGATTTTCAGCAAAAATTGGAGGAACATGGGAATGGGATCTGAATAAGTAGTGTGTATGTATGTAAAGTATTTAGGGGCTATGTAGTTCTTTTAGATATAGAAACTTATTTAACTGTTTGCAAAATATAATCGGAATCCCGCTAAATAATAAAGAATATAACCATAGACAATTAAAGGAACCAATTTCATTAACTTAGGTTTACAGCTGGAAGGACTTCACGGAAAGTTCTTTACGACCATTTGATGACTGAAACTTTGACAAAGTGTATGTCTTTCAGCTCAACGTAATATTACCGGCGAGAGTTTTTCTACGCATAAACGTAAGGTTTTCACATTTGATTAACCGAAATCAATTTGCGTGCGTGATTTCTCAGAGTTGCATTTCTGTCAGTTGTTGAGGAAAATTTGAATTCATAGTCGCGCCAAAATGTCAAATGAGCACAAACGTCAAATCGAAATGTCACGCAACACAAATCTTGGAATTTGAGTTAGCTTTTAACGCACGCCGTTCAATTTCGGTTGGTCCCATACAAGTTGTATGTGCATGAGAAATTTTTTACAGTAAACTGCCTGCGTGCGTGAATATTAGGCTGGCTTGCTTCCCGTTTTGCTGATGCAATTAACAGACTTGACTTTTTTTCATGCACAAGGTCTATCTAGCCGGCAAACTGACTGAGTGATATGTAAAATGGACCTCGAGGGTAGCCTGAAACCAGTCACAGTAGGGCTGGTAAACTATCGATAGTTTACGATACTAATGCCTAAAACCATCGATAGTTTTTCGATAGTATCGGTTTAATACAACAGAGAAGCCCCACATCAAACGTTTGGGGTTTTTCAGACCTTCAGCACTTTATTGAGTTTATGAGGCCTGGAGATCTGCTCTAATAACTACTTGAAATAGGCTCGGAAATTAATTGATCAATGGACTTAAATTAAATTACCAAAAATACATTAAAAAAAATTTTTTGAGGACACATTCTCGAACATGCTTTTTTCATTTCCCCATACACCATACAAGCATGACTTGTTTAAGCAGAGAATTCTACTTTTTTCCGCTCCATAATTTTTATCTGTTATGTCCTCACTCGGAAAAAATGAGGCGATTTTGCTATACAACACAAGCGGATTGATCAAACTTCAACATATGGGTCAGATAATCAAAAATTTGATTTACCGCACAACAGGTTTGAGCTGAATTTCGATGTCTTTCACTCTTAAGAAGCCAAACAGTTGATTTGATACATCGTTGCTTTATTCGATATCTGCCAAACAAACCGTGTTTGAATCTTCAAAAGAACCGAAAGTGCTATTTTTGTTGCGAATTGCCGTGTAATTGATTTCATTTTCAAGAAGAGTAACTGTTCTGGATTCGTAGGAAAACCACTTTCATATGCATAAAATCAATTAATTGCTAGACAAGGGAGAAAAAAGATGAAATAGTGGTTTATGTCGATAGTTGGCGACCATCGATAGGACTATCGTCAGACGGAAACCAACGATAGTCGTGTCGATATTATCGATAGTTTACCAGTCCTAAGTTACAGGCTGAGCTAATCTTGCCAAAGGAACGTCCATGAAGCTTCAGAATAGGTCCTTCAGTTACATTGATGCTTAAAGTCTCGAAGTGGTTTTAGTACTGGAACACCCCTTTCGCTTTCCGCAGTAATTTTCGACAGCTATGTATCTATGTATGTCAAATAAACTTTCAATATTTGAGATCCTCGGGAGCTCTTAAAAGCCATAGAAATCTGTACAACGCAGCTCATTGTTACTGCTTTTTGCTATGCACGCGAAGAAGAGTGATTACGAAATTTGTAGAGACTCGTTCGATCGGGTACGAGTTAGTCTTACTGCACTAACCGGATCTGAGTTCAGCCAGATCGCTTACATCGATGGGTGGCCTACAAGGGCAATGTTTTCGCGACGAGCGCTGCTGGCGGATATAGCTGAATCTTTGACTCCGTCAACTTCCACGTCCAGTTCGAGCCCCACTTTCTTAGTCCACGACATGAAGATTGTGGGCATCTTAATAAGTCTCCGTCTTCTTCTGTAACTAAGTCTGTGGAGAGGGTAGGTCTCTTCCTTCTGGGGATTCTCTACCGAGACAGAAACATGGCTTTAAGTAGCTTTAATAAGAAAGGTTGTGGTGTCTGGTATAGTCAAAAATAGAAACTTACACAGACGATTTTTTGGATCGTGATATCATCTATCTAAGCGCCACCTTCCTTTTTACCTTTCTGTAAGGAGCTAGTGTGACCTGCCATAACCATAAAGTCTTGCAATACGAATATTAGCTTTACTTCAAGTAGAATCTTTCTTAACTGAAAACACACAAAATGAACAACGAAAACCTTTCAAGTATTGCACTCAACACAAAACTGCTGCCTAATTAGGCAACAGCATGCATTAGCCTTTCGAAACCTGTGAAACTTCAGCCACCAAAACCAACCAAAGCCATACCGGAAACGCATGATGGCAAAGCAAATCTTGATGTGATTTGCCTAAAATGCCAACAAATTATGCTAAACGCACCCACACCACAACAGCGTAGCAAAGTGAACCGAATAGCGTGGGTTAAAGAAAAAATTTAAAGCATTTACAAAAGCCACAGGGGGTTGCTAAACGTGCAACCAATCAGTGAAAAGCTTCTGTAATGTCGTTCAAAGGACTAACGCAGACGATGGGTGTGTGGGTGGTTGGACGATGGCTTGTGAATAAAAAAAAATCTAAAGCCGCTAGCGTTAGAAGGAGAAAGCAATCAAGTAGCTCAGAGTATATGCGAGCGCTGAAACCGCGCGAGTGCGACCAGATAAACAAGTACTTCGCGAGAACGGTATTTTTTCAAAAACAAAATGGCCAACATCCTTATATGCCTTGCGTTTAGTAGGTGGGTGGAGAAGAGCGTGCTCAGCTGTCTATGATGAAAGTGTGGGTGAGAGAAGTGGGTGGTTGTCAAGTTGCGCGTGTGGCAGGATGGCATCGAATGCTGAGTGCAGCAAAGAGAGAAAGAGTATGAGAGCGCGCATTTGTTTCGGTGTTTATGTGCGCGCGTGACATGTGCATTGATTAAATAACGGTTAAATGTGATGCTGCAGCATGGCAGGCAGGAGAGTAGCTTTACAGAACATGCGAAGGCTTTTTACTCATTTTTTGCAAATTCTTTTTTTTT